TGATCGCTGCTCTATCTCAAGTCCCTTTAGAAACTCACTCTCAGTCGCCACCTTCCCCTGCATTAACAAAGCAAGAAGAACGTTTTTGAGGAATATCAGTGACCTTGCCAATCACCTGGTCTTAAAATAACAAAACTATGATCAGACAGAGAGGCAATGATCTTGAGAAAACATTATAAGGGCGTGAGTCCCTTGTCTCCTACAATATTACCTGTCTCTACGGACACTTCTGCCTCTAATGTTTAGCGACAAGCTTCTTCTTCGCCGCCCTTGCTCAGATTTCATCCTTAATGTCATAAAGGTGTCGTTGTTCTTCTGTCATCTCGCCTGTTTGTACATGGACAATTTTTAAGTCTATGATAGACTTCAGGATTGAGAGGCATCAATCAGTCAGCATCATCCAACAAAATTCTTTACTCTTCAGGAGAGGCTTTGACTTGTGCACTATTTGCTCTAACAACTTGATCTGAATATCCCATAGCACGAAACAAGATCCGACCAAAAATTTCTTCTTCTAGAACTTTATTTTGTTCTACTCTGAGCAAGTAAAGTTCTTTGCCCGCAAAAAAAAAAAACATGACAAATCCCTCCTCATCAACCTTGAAAAAAAAAACGCAAATAGGTTGATTGACCATGACAAGCATTCCTGAAGACAATTGAGAATGAATGTCATCGTGATAGCTATGAAGTTCGGTAGTAACTTTGTCGGAATGGCCATATGTGTTGAAGGCGCTCTGAAGCTCGCAACACAAAGGCAACCGGAGGCCATATTTGAACTGGTCCAGGTAGAAGACTAGATCTCCACCCATAACCTCCGTCGCCCTAGCAGACTGATACACCTAAAATATATTGTGTTTCATACACATTTTTATACATTTTTCTGAGATATTGCGGTTTAATGTAAGATATTTATGTGTTTTTTTTATGTACATCTAAAAAGGTAAAAATGATAAAATGAGTGAAAAATGATCAAATATAGAGCAAAAATGCAAAAATGGTGCAAAAGTATTTTGTCACATAAGCGCCAGATCCGGCGCTTAAGCCCCAGTGAAACAAAGAAGCCTGCGCCTAAGTGCCAGAGGCCCCGCACTTTAGCACTAGTGACAGTTACTTGACGGGTTAATTCATTTTGACAAATTTTCAATGGACATTTGAGGCACCTATTGGCTAAAGAGGGTGGTTAGAACCACTAGAAATGAAAATATGGTTAAAAGACTCGTGAAATGAGGCATCCCTTAGAGAATACATTGAATTTGGACACATTTTTGAAGAGATACCAATGCACCTCTTGGAAAATTATAAAATAAGGAAGTATAGATTTTAAGGAAGTATTGATTTTTAGAAGGGTTTCTGAAATAATTATTGAAGAAGCTTTTGAAGAGGCAATTTACACATCTTTGGGGAAAGTTTCAGACACAAAAAATCTACATTTATTTTTCCTTTTATTTCTAGTTTTATTTTGATAGTTAAGAGTGTTGTAAGAAGATAAGAAATTTGAAGGAACTTCAAGAGTTTGGTGGACGATTTTAGATAAGTTTTTATCTTTTTGTTACTACATTTGTTTTTAATTGAAACTTCTTGTTGGTTTGACAATGATTTTTGCTTTTAAACTAAAATGTGATTTTATTTTCTCCATGAATTCTAAGTAGTTTTATTTATATTTTTTCCTTAAAATGATAAGTAATTAAAGTATTGGATGTAAGTTGTGGAAAGTATTGATCTTTAATGTTGGAAGAAGTTGTGATGATTTGACTTTATGTACTTCATTTACTTCTTTATTTGGGCCATGAGGATGTTAAAATTTGTTGTGAGAGCATATAAGAACCAGGATGGTATTGTTTCAGTCAATAATTGGATATAATCACATGAGATTGTATGGATAAGAATGTAATTCATACGATTGACTGCAAATAAATAGGAAAGTAATATATGAAGGGTGTAGAGTTAGAAGATTTTAATGTGACAGGTTAAAACCCCTAACTTGATTTGTTGTTTTATGTTTTAATACGAGATGTTAGCCCCCAAGTTGAGGGAATCAAGGGAACTCTAGAGTGAGAACTGGTATATTCCCTACCTAGCCGATCTTAAGAACTATTCAAACTTTAAATTAGTCAATATTCTTTATAAAATCTCTAGTAAGAGTAGAGAATAATATTGCTCATATTTGACACAAAACAATTTTACATACTTCTACAATATAATTTCTATACTTGTTACTGATTCATGAAAAGGAAAAAAAATATTTCATATTTAGTGTTTCTTATGTTACAAAAACTAAAGTTATTTTTATAAGTTGTTATTATTTTGTCAAAATATCAAAAACACCCAGAAAAGAATTGAACTTTAATTACTGGATAATATCTTTAGTTCAAGTAATTGTCTTTTTAAAATATAAGTTTGTTACTTAATAGTGCATATTGTGATATTCATGACTTCATCAAAAAGTCCTAAATTACTTGATAACATACGTATACTTGTGTAGTATCACAATATATATATATATATATATATATATATTAAAAAGTAGAATTCTTATTTTCTCCAGAATCAAGTTTTTTTTTGTTGTTGCAAAGTAGGAAAGATAAGCAGAGAATATAATTGCATGCATTATTATGCTGTTGCATAAGAACAGTCGGGATCACGAACCTCGACAACTTATGAAGGGTGACGTTGCTATGCATAACATACTTCTTCTGCAACTCCTTCTCTGTCAATAACAACTAATCAGCGCTATTGACAAAGCTGAAGAGGGGGGGGGGGGGGGGGGGAGGGGAAGAAAAATCATTTTGTGGTCGAGAGGCAAAACAATAGAGGGAGGAAAATCAAAAGCTCGGATGCATGAATCAAAATGCATAAAGTAAGGAGTCATGGTTTCATGCAGTACGAATGCATAAAATGACGCATCACATAAGGATAAGTGTCACACCAATAATCTTTTTAAATTTATTTAAATGTGGTTTCATTTCCAAACAACATTATTATTGGTTAGAGATAAAGTGTTTTATGAACGGGTCTTCCAATGCCTCAGTCAGAACATACCCTCTCTAAGTTAACCTTCATATGACAATCGCCCCTCCTATCCCAAGCTGCTCCATTCGATCATCCTTGTGGTGAAATTTGCACAAGTCAGTTGACTAACAAGGTGCTCCCAACTATCACAATACTTTGTCCAATCCGTTCCGCAAAGTGGCAACCTCCACTTGCAGGGCTAACATGACCGAGCACATGGACATCAGAGAGACTAAGAGCCCCTGCGCAAAGCCTCTGACCGTTCCCTCTGAAGAACAACCTCTTGCCATCAAGGACTCAGTCCTCCCTTTTTGTTGCTCCATGGTTCCAAGGGAAAGTGACCGATGTTCCATTTTCTATCTTGTTCAGTGTCGATAGCAGGAAAAGAGTCGGGTGGCTGGTATCTTCTCGAAATAACTGCTGACAGGATTCCCGCGAGCTCGGCCTGCAGACTGGCTGCTGCAGCAAGAACAAATGTCGCATCGTCTTTCGACTGCCCGTCGTCTTGGTGATCCTTCGACTCAACCAATTCATCAACATATGAATAATGTAAAGAAACCATTCAAGACTGGTGGATGCCAAAGAAAGCTCTACACACATATATCTATTTATTGAGGAAAGGTCCAAACATTTTTCCCCTTCTCTTACTGCGAGGTACATTCACCTCTTTGCAACAATAGTCAAGAAGAGATACAAATCTCTGTTTCCTCCGGCCTCTTTCCACCCTCCTTACGCCTCCAGTGAGCAGAACCTCCTGGCCCTCAGAGCTCACTCTTGTGCCAAGCTCAGGAACCATGATTTCCCGATGAGAGACCTTCGACACCTGCCTCTCAGGATCCTCCAGATGGGTCGACTTGATCAACCAGTGTAGGTTCGATCCTTAGTCGTTTTTCTTTAATAAATCTGCTCCTCTTTACAGAAGTCAAGGGTCCGTAGCCCACCCTGACAAGGATCTTTGGGTCCACGAGGAGCTCTCTCTCTGATTGTATGACATGGTGCAATAGAACTCTATAGGGAAGAATACCAGCAACAGATGCAATGTCAAGCCTATGACCTTATTTATAGAGCACTCGCGACATATAATCCAAGTGATAGATACCTATCAAATCAAATTTATCAAAATTAGTACTAATGAATGCTAATAATTTCACTGTTCTCATCGTAGGTGTCACTTTCAATGAGCAGAGAAATTCGAGGAACTAATATGTATACACCAACGCTGTCAGCGTGATTCTCAAAGCAATCAAACAACATAGACGATATCGAGACTCCTACCGTCCTACAACTAACTGCGTGATCCAGAATCGATCGTCATATTATAACCAGAGATCCGAACGACATACCGCGCCTGCAGTCTCGACCAACCAAAGCACAATTGGGAACCATTCATTGCGGCTAATTGATCAACCCACTTTTATCAAGACGAACAAGATCGCTACTCGACTATGCGCCTCGATCGATACATAAGGAGGAATCGCCACTCAAATCAACTAACCAATTATTGTTATATTAGAATTCAAATCATAATACAAATATAATATGAAATTCATACGATTTATTAGAACATCAATGATATTAAGAGCGAATTTTTGTAATTGTACAAAACACTATTCTACAAGTAAGAGGAAAAAGTACGAATAAAGGAAGCTCTCGCGGTCCTCTCTACATTAAATGCTAGACTTATTTTACCTTCTTTCTCTTTTTTCCTTCGTCTGGTTATAACTTTCGGGTCGTGTTCACAAATGACAATTTATGATTCAACACTGCGATACGGTGTTCGGTGAAATGATCTTTTGTGAGCATTGGTTGACGCTCATCAGCTAAACATTATTTTTTTTTCTTTGTGAGAAGTAGTTTCCTCCCTCCACTCCACAACCTTAGGTTTAAAGGAGCTTCCTCAAACATAGCCTTAGCCTTAAAATAGAAATGAACTTTTATAAATATATTTTGTTAAGAAAATAAATTCATATCCGTACTAGTTGAATGTAAAATCGAATTTTATTGTTCACATAAATGGTCGGGGTCGATCAGGATTCGAATGGACCGGATGCACGGATTATAGAATGACGGCGAAGTGCCAGATTTCTTCCGTCCGAGCAGAGTAGGAAAATCCCTTTGCCTTGGCTTCGTTTTTCTCTAAGAAATTCTCAAACGAAAGCTAGGGTTCTTCTGCTTCTTCCTAACCTCCTAGCCCTAGCCTTATTACCCGATGTAACTGGCCAACGTTTTGAGGAATTCCGGCTTCGAAAGAAACCTTGCTTTCAATCGCTGCAGTTCAGCTATCCCTAGATCGGAGACGTAGATAAAAGATGTCGTCTTCTTCCGGACAGCCACAGTTCCGGTACACGCAGACCCCCTCCAAAGTTTTGCACCTCCGGAACCTTCCATGGGAATGTACGGAGGAGGAGCTCGTTGAACTCTGCAAGCCTTTCGGTAAGATCGTCAACACCAAGTGCAACGTTGGTGCCAACCGCAACCAGGCTTTTGTTGAGTATGTGAGTGGCTATTCTAGATTTTCCGTCTTCATTTCCGCGTTAGGTTATCGATCAACTTCTTACTTGATGGAGTTTGATAGGATTACCACCCTATTACTATTTACCGTCTGGCGTGTATCATATTTTACTTTGTTACTACCCGGCATCATTCCTGGCATCGTTCTATTTTATGCTGATATGATAAGTATTTTCAGAGTTTGCTTGCTTTTTAACTTGTTCCGATTGATTATATATTATATTGAATAATACACTTATTGTAATGTTTTGTAACCCTGGAATAGTGGGACTGTTGTTATGGGGTATTTAAGCAACGCATCCATGAATTTGAGATGGAATTAGCAACGCGCAGCGCTTGTGCGATTTGTTACGCTAAAAAAAAATTCATTTGATTTTCCTCAAGTTTTTATCCATGCAAGTAATCGTGATAGTCTTCTTTTCAGATATGAGCTGCAAACCATATTTAATTGTAGTAAGCCAAGTGAGCTTGTTAAAAGTGAAGGAATCTTCCATATTTTCTATGGGTTGCGTTGCTGTTGCATGCCCAATCACTGTTTTCTAAGGTCGGTGCTTACAAATTTTCCTTCAGGCATCTAACATTATTTTTTCCCAACAGCATGGATACTTGCTCAGTTTTAAGAACCAACTAAGTTAGATAGTTTTTTTAATCAATCTAAAGCCTTGTGGAAAAAATTTTATAACACCAAAATAAGCATGCCTCATCTTACTTTTCAACATTCTGCAGAAATTAGTCATAAACTATCATTTTCCTCAACATTATCGGCACCTATCTCCATGCATTGTAATTTGTGAAAATTTATACTGCAGTTGGTCCATTACAGCTGTTTAGATGCACAATTTTCATCTTAAATAATAGTTTCTAGCTGTTATGTCTAATTTTCAGCAGACACATAGGTTTTTGGATTATTAATTTTTGTTGCATCTTGGGCTTTATGATGCAGACAATCTTAGAAAGGGGTAGCTGTATGTGCTGCTCTGTTGGTTGCCTTAGATCTTAGAAATTGCATGAGTTTTGGACATGGGCTTGACTTCTCGCAAGATGTAGGGTTGATTTCTAGCTGTAGTCTCTCATGACTAGGGATCGGCCTTGGGTTGGGTCATATGCTGTTGTTTTTGTTATGGCCTTATAGGATGAAATGGGGTTTAGTCAGATCATTTGAGGCTTATATTTGATTTTAAATAAGAAGTCTTATATTTGCTGGAAGTGTTCTCAAAAGTTATATCTGAAAGAGCTACTAGTTAACCTTGCAAGCCCAATGTATATTTTGTATAAATGGGTACTCAACGGTTTCTTTGAATAAGTGAATTGTGAAAATAGGTTAAAGTGCATCCTTCTAATCTCAATATCTCGTTTCAATTGTAATTTGTTTCAACTTTATTGTTATAATTATATTTATTTTATACATATATTCCACATACTTCTAGTATAAATTTACACTATTCAACTTTGCATGTGTCGTGCCCAACAATAAATAGATGGTTGTATGTACATTTTTGGTATCCATTTTTTTAATCAAATGTTAAGGGAATTAGGACTTAACTTTTTAATCCCTTCATATCTTCATCATTGACCGTGTGCCAAATATTGTGATCGGCTTTATAAATTTTCATCCATTAATTCATGTTCAGTTCTACATGTTAACCTATGACATCAACTCTAACTTTTACCATTCATTTTGCATTGCTTCTAGCTATTTTTATCATGGTTTAGAAATTTATCTTTTCAAATGTTTCACATTAAATCAATTTACTAGCCTTATTTGTTCTTCCGTTACTCTTTGTATTTGCCAAATCTACTTTCAACGCCTTATCACAAAAGGAACATATTTAAACCTTTTTTGTATATGATTTCTACCATGTTACGCTCTTTAGTTTAACATCTCCATCTTAATATTGTCATTTTTTTTCCTTGATTGGTTTTTATTTTGAAGACTTCTATCTCAAAGTTCAAGTTTTTTTGTTTGTAGTTAGTAGAAATAGTTGCTGTTGTCGAGCATTTTCAAGAAGATCCATATTTTTATTTGAAAGTTATTATAAAACAATGAAGAATAGAACTTTCTTTAAAAGAAAAAGGATGAAAAGTTGTAAATTTGGTCAGGCTAAGAAGTTTAATTTGACTTGCATAGTTAATTGAGAAAATAAAGTTTGAAATAAGTGGAAGTTATAATTATTACTAAATACAAAGAATAGTTTAGAATATACATGACTTAGAATTATTATAAAAAATATTTATTATGTGATATGCTAGCTTTATTGGCTTGATAGTAAAGATAATCATTTTTAAACTATTTTTTTATAAGAGAATATGGTCCAGGAGTTACTGTTTGGAGATTGACTGCACAATGAATCACATAAGAAATGAATTCTATTCCTATTGATTGGTTAAGTAATTAATAATATTTTTTAAAAAATAGGGATGCATATGAGGATTTAGGTTCTAGAGTTAAGATTGAACGATTAAAACGAAAAATGAAGACTATCATGCAATAAGAGGATATTGTAGACTTAAAATTAAATTTATAAAAATACAATTAGGTTTAATATGTTATATTGATTTGAGTTTTGAGAATTAAAAAGTTATAGACAGTTGCTTTAAGTGTGGGTGAAGTGAGGATATTAGGATGCATGCTGACAAAATATGGAATGATGAATTAAAGAATGATTTCGTTGAGGAATGATTGGATTGACATCTAATGAAGATAACACAATAAAAAAACACATAGGTGGATTGGTCATGTCCAATCATAGAAAATGCATCCAATAGTTTCGACCTTAAATAAAATTAATCATAGAGAATTAAGAAGGAGAAGAGATAGATCTATGATAAGAGGGGTACAAGTTGTTTAAAATGATTTGCGAAAAATAGTTTAATACTTAAGATAACAAAAAGTAAGAATGATTGGGAAAGAGATATTTATATAACCAATCCCAAATAGTTACAACAATTCTAATGATGATGATGACTTTTATTGTGAATAAATGGAAAAAAATGTGATGCAAGGCAAGCATGATTGCTAGATTATGTCATATTAAATTCTAAGTTTGTTCCCTTTTAATTATACATTATTGTGTTTATTTTCTTTAAAAGTAAATGTATTAAGGAATATATTATGATTCTTGGCCTTTTTAAGGGGCTTCAATCTTCTATGAAAGGTATTTGATTGTTATTAATTAAGTTATTGAAGCTGCATATCCCGTCACTATATGTCTTGTCAATCTTTCGGAGTATCTCTTATTCTTATCTCCTTTTTTACTAAGTCATTAAAATGGAAAACCTTTTAGTGAACCTTGTTTCGTGTTTAAAGATAGCCTAAGATGGTAGAAATTGGGAATGGCATTTTCTAACTCCATTGTTGCAAGCTAAAAGAGGAATAACAAATATTTGCGATATTCACATCACAGAGGTGGTTTTAAAAATAGAATTTCGCAATAGTTTTTATTCTCTTTGTGAATGATTTGTTGGATTACTTAGAAATGTTAGGTACTCGTTCTTTTCTTTTGAAGCCAAAAATAAAATCTTTAACATTAGGCCTCAAATAATGTGATATGCATTGAAGTCATATAAATGTTTAAGAAGTTGGTTTGATTGGTTTTCTTCTACTTTTTTTGCTGGAGGAGTTTATATTTTCAAGTTGCATGCTACTGTTTATTTATTTGTTTTAGTTTTGGTTAAAATTTGAAGTATTATTTTTTTTAATTCTTGACTCAAGAAATTTGTTATATTTGTGTTAATTGTGATTAAGGTGCTAAATGGTTTTAACTTATGTTTACAATGAAATTGTTATTGAAAACCTTACTATTTTAATTTGGATCATCCATCTCTTGTTAGATTTCATGTTAGTTATTTGTTTGGTTTCTTAGTAGAATTATTCTCTTGCCATGGTGCAACCACATAGTTGAGGTATAGTTCCGCACCATGTGTGAGCAAAACTCTTAGTTGCCTTATCACTTATTCTTGCTTTATGAGAAGAGTAATTAATGCTCAAATTTAATTTTATATGTAGAGGTCAAATATGGTAAAAAAGTATAATATGAACCATTACTAACATCACCTTGATAAGCTTGACATACCAAAAGACAAGTATAAGATGAAATGAAACAATTATCCTCAGGGGCCACTGCCACTTTGCTCCCTGCTGTTTTGAGCTGAAAATTATACATATTTGTGATTTTTATTTCAGTGTATTCATGTATTGTAATTTCTGAAGTTAATATTAAGGAGATTATTGTGTGTTCCTATGTAGTAATTTCTTAACATGATAATATGTAGATTATTGTTATAAAAGTAATCTAACATCTGTTTAGAGTCAAATGGTTTTTCTAGTTGTTGCCATATGCTACATAGATGGCATGTATATGCACATAGAAAACAATGGATAGGGAAAACATGTTGTGAGTTGTATGTTATTCTTAAACTAGGATACGCATTGGGCAATCTGCCTGACCCCGTCAACATGACTTGAGGATGTCGGGCTTGATTGATATCCTTAACACGAGGTTAATGTTGATTTGACATGAACTTGCATTTTTTTGGGTTGAATTTGAGCAATAATACATGATTTGAGTTGACAGAATTAGCTGAGTGAGTCATGCTGCCTTTTCTAACTGAAAAAGCTATGGTTTTTACTTGTTTAATCAAGCTAGCTTAGCTGTGGGCTAGGTTGCGTGCTCATTAGACTGAATTTGACTTATCTCAAAGTTATGTTGACTCGTGCTCATTTCTTGTTCCTACCCAAGCTATAATTGACATGGATATACCTTTTACATTAATTTTTCAATGCACTTGATCTTCAACATAATCTATTTGCCTTAATATGTGCATGCGTGTGTGGCTGTTTTGTTATTGATATTGATTAAATATTTGGAGAAGACTTTTCAAATTATGCTAGCTTAATAATTTTGTGGTTATTGATTTAACTTCGTTTAATATTTGGAGGAATAACTTTGATCTTAATGCTGTGAAAAATATGTGAACATTTTCC